AGTTACTTTTTTATAGTTTTCTTTAGCTACTTTTACCTACTTTTTATATAGTTATAAGTAGTTTCTAATAGACTTATTAAAATAAAAAGTTCTTATAGTCTAATAACTTCTAAGCTAACTAGAGTATAGTATTAGTAACTTATAAGTATAAATAGTTTACCTTTTACTCCTTTTTTAAATTATAGTATCTTACTCTAACTTAAGTAGTTAGAGCTAAACTATAGCTTATAGCTATAGTAGGCTAATAAAAGTTCTAAATTCTAGTAAATCTATTAAACTATTATACTTATAGTATAATAGAACCTAAGTTTAAACTATTATAATAGCCTTTTATAAAATAAAATAAAAAAACTACTTTTTATTTTTACTTATATACAAATTTAAAGTGTATAGTAAAGCACCTACTATTACTAAATATACAAAGCTATAATAGAATAGTAATATATTTCTAGCAGTACTTTAGTATTAGATATTAGATAATTAGATTATAATCAATACTAGAAATATAATATTTAAGAAATATACAGATTATATTACATAAGTAAACTAAAGATAGATTATTACTAAGCTATAATATCGTCCTATAAGTCTTTATATTTTATTTCTTAGTATTCTAAGCTAAAATAGCCTTTAATAGCTTAGAATAGCTTAAAGTGCCTTTTTAGAGCGCCTAGCCTAATATTATACTTTTAATATAAAAAAATAGTATAAGTATAGTTTTAAAAACTTACTTAGCTTTACTATATAGAATTTTATATATACTTATTTAGAAACATCCTTAGTTATAACTAAAGATATTAGACTATACCGCCTATAATTAATATTAAAAGTATATAGTATTATCAATAATTAATAATATATATAAATAATATAAGTATTCTATAGTAGTATTAATATAAACAGTTATTAGTAACTATTGTTAGTAGTTAGTAACTAGACTCTTAAAGTACAGGATTAAAATTCTTTAAAGTATTTAAAACTAGAATCTATTCTAACTTAAAAGCTAAACTTAGCTTATTATATTAAAACTATCTTTCTTACTTTTAAATTCTACTTTTGTTTCTATTTATAAGGTCTCTAAGGTTAGACTAAATAGATTAAAATTAATAAATATAGTAAGCTGAAGTAAAACTATCTCAAAATAGCTATAGCTATAATTATAGTGATTATAGATGCTTACGTTACACAAATTACTATAAGTAGAGTGTCTTTAACTAATAAAGAGTCTATAGTAGAATATTATATTTATATGTACGTTAAGAAATAAACCTATATAATAACAGGTTCAAAGAGATAATACTCTTTGATAATAGGCTGATAACCTTAGTAGTGTTGTTACAAAGACTATCTGCAACCTTCTTTCATGCCCAGCCTACGTTGCGAATCTCCAGCTATTAGTCACCCCTGTTTGCTCCTCTTTCGCAGTCAAATCTTTGTTCTTCTTATTGCACCACCACTTCGTCGCAAGACACAGTATGATAGTCAAGCCACATCCGGCAATGATACACCCACCTCCTGTCTCATACCTCGGCTCCTGGTTCGTGAGGAAAAAATATGGCGTGAACCAATGACTAACGCTTGACACACAGTTTGCGATAGCAATCAGTGCAGCTCTTTTGGTCCGCGGACGAGGCACAACTGTAGTCTCCCATGAGAGCTGGATGTTGAGTCCGACGAACGGTCCGCAACAGAGAAGAATCATGGAAAAATACCTCGCACCTGTATTCAGCGTGCTGATCATGATGATTGCTCCAATGAGGGTTGTCGAGATAGCGCCGATGATATGATAGCCGTGTTCGAGCATACGCCCGGACGACCATGACACGACCAGTGTGACGATATAAGCTATCACGTATGGCGGAGCCTGAACAAGATAGGTTTCGACCTTTCCAAAGCCCAAGGTGTCCATGATGGACGGAAAGAAGTCTTTGAATGATTGGGCGATGATAAGAGAGAAATGTATGCCGGCAAATAGCCACGTAAATGGATCTCGAACAGCCTGCATCAGCCCGCCAAGGTAGTCGCCTTCTTCGTCCTCCGATACCATACCAGAAGACACGGACTGGCGGTATTGCGCCATCTGTTGCTCTTCAGCGGTGAAGTAGTACGTTCCGGTGTTGTTGGGGAAGTTCGGAAGAAGCCAGAATCCGGGAATGGCAACCATGATGGACACGATACCCTCCAACAGGAGAAACCACTGCCATGCATGTAGACCCGCAATATTGTCCATGTTGGTCAAAATGCCCGCCGCAAGTAGACCAGAGAAGACATTCGAGACGATGTTTCCTGCGTGCCAGATTGCCATCCGTAGAGGACTTTCCTGTTTGGTATACCAGCATGAGGTCATGAGCGCTACCACAGGGAGGAATGGGCCCTCAGTGAAGCCAACAAGAAAGCGACAAAGCATGAAGTGCCATGGTCTGGTGCATGCAGGCATACAAATGGTGACGGATGACCACGCTAGCATTATACAGGGCATCCAGATGCGTGGCTTCTGTTTCGACATGATGATGTTTGCAGGTACCTGTGAAATGATGTATCCCACGTAGAAGAGCGAGATGCCAGCAGACCACTCCACATCGCTCATGTGAATGTCATGTTGCATGCCAGCAAGGCGGGCATTAGAGACATTGATGCGATCAAGATAACTGTCGGAAGTTAGTCAGTTGACTCTGAGCCACACAGCCAAGAAAGCTGTCTCACTTCATCAATAGCATCAACGTAATGATGAGCAAGAATTTCCAATCCAATTTCTTCAGAACAGCCTTGTTCAATCTGTCGAGCTCATCCTTGGACTTCTCTCGCAGCAGAGGATAGCTCTGGAGAAAGATCTCGGCTTCAGAAAGCCCAGCATCCTCAAGCTTCACAGTCTCGCAGCTTTGCTCCAGGAATTTTTTGTCGGTAGTCATGGTGATGTCGACGGTGGACGTTGGCTACTGAATGGCGGGTAGAGAGAAGAAAGGGTCTGAGCGGTGCAGCATCCGGCGATAGCGTTTCGAGATCTTCGGCTTCTTTATACCTTGCTACAACAGCTAATGTACTCCAAGAATCGATATGATGCACAGTTGGCCATGCGTTTTCCCGTCCATCGTTGCCTGTCCAGCGTGCGGGGATGGTTCGTGTCGCCCACACATTCCCCAGATCCCAGATGCCCTACTAGTCGCTTGCCTAGACATTTCTTCTGAGCTTGGTGCTATCGGTAGTCGTCCGATGATTGTAGCGTCTCGGGACTGATGCGAAGGCCACATCTTGCGTCGGTGGTCGCCCGAGAGGTGGCGTGGTAGAAGCGGGGAAAGGATGCCCTGACAGGCGCACTTGCTCCCGTTAGACCCTGCATGACTCATGCACAGCACGTACTCATGTTCGCACTTCGGTCATGTCCCGAAAACATGTCGGTAGCCCGATACTGTGTGTAGTGGACCGAAAGGATCATAAATGATGTCGTAGTGCAAGGGATTACGTCGCATTACTTATTGCAGTCAATAGACGGCCAACAAGACGCTCTTATACCTCAAACTCTGTCTAGTCCTTCAATTTGGTACTGTCAACACAAGATCATCACCAGACAGAAACGGCGATATGGCTGAACTTACTCTCCATAACTCTATTCGGGAGAAGATGCTCCGCGATGAGGTAGCATACACCTTGTCTGTTAAGCTTGTTCGCAGTGTCGAACTTCCAATGATGGCGAAAACCGCAGGATTCGATGGCATACTCATTGACATGGAACACTCGACCTTTGACTTGGACACAACCAGTATGTTTTCCCTTGTTGACCTTCCATTCTTCCCAACATTTGTGTCTCTAGAGGCTGATATGACTCAGGTCAGATCTGCATAGCTGCCCTATACGCTGGCATCTCTCCCATAGTTCGTGTTCCATCTAAAGATCCTTTCTTCGTTTCTCGTGTACTAGACGGAGGCGCCATGGGGGTCATAGTCCCGCACATCCGATCTGTACAGGACGCCAAAGATGTAGTCGCCGCCGCGAAGTTTCAACCCGTTGGTCACCGTTCGTCGACGAACAACATGCCACAATTCCAATATCGACACCTCTCCGCCAAGGCTATGAGCCCCGTGTGCAACCGCGAAACACTCGTCATTCCGATGGTAGAGACACTAGAAGCAGTTGATTGCGTTGAAGAGCTAGCAGCCATCGAAGGTGTTGATAGTCTGCTGATTGGCACCAATGACATGTGCGCCGAACTAGGTATTCCGGGTCAGTACGAGAGCCCGCAATTGCTCGAGGTCTACGAGAAGACTATCAATGCCTGCAAAAGGCACGGGAAATGGGTGGGTGTAGGAGGTTTACATTCGAGACTAGATCTTGTAGAGAAATTTTGCCAAATGGGAGCGCGATGGGTCATGGCAGCGACAGATGGGCCATTGCTCCTCGGTGGAGCGACAAAAAGAGCAAGTGAGATGGCACAACTGAGCGAAAGAGTCAAGCATATCGAACAACCGACCCACCAGGAGGCGAATAGAGCTGCAATCGAGTCGACTAATGGAGTTATCGATGTCTTGAAAACAAAGGCTGGTGTTACTGTTGCAGAATTGACGAACGGCCACACGAATGTATTGGCTAGCTCTTAGTCAATAAGATATGTTTACAATATAGAGATAAACTGACCTTGCGTGTTGTATGAGTATATCCGGCATCGTTGAGTACGTCAAAAGACCAATAGTCATGAAAAGTGTCTCCCTGATCGTGGGGCGGCAATAGTTCTTACGTTCCTAACAGCGGGACCAATGGTTCCCAGGATTCGATAGCTGGCCGCAAAGTGCCACAAAACCCATACCTGAGAAGCCCAGTTGTTTCGGAGCAATTTGCATTCCCTTAGAAGCAATCGAACTTGAGTTCGTTGTAGGTATCCTAGGTTATTCTGACTGGTGGGACCCGAACTCGCTAGCGCCTCGTCCTGTGCCCAATGCCTCGGTTCGCCACAGCGTTTCCACCTCGATCTTCGAACCTAGGCCCCAACTCGGACTTAACCTGTCAACATGACCACTATGCAATCGCAAGCCTGCGAAAGATGTTGGAAGAGAAAACAGAAGGTTGGTGGGCGCATTTCCCCGCGTGATAACGACATATGGTAACACCTGCCAACAGCCGTTCTACCCTAATGTTCCGTTCTTGTTCTCAGGGCAGAATGATCCGCCATCACTCTGTGAACTCACGTCGTATTGACATATCGCTGACAGGTGGTGTAGTGCTCCCGCGAAACACCAACATGCCAACAATGTCTCAAAGCCTCTTCACAATGTGTGCAGCGACGCTTGGGTTCGACCATCGATGCTTCTGATCCATCTTCTATCTCATACATCGAGTCTTTGAAGTTGAGAATCCGTGATTTAGAAGGTAGATGCAAGCGGCAATCTGATGTACGGCACGACGACCTCAACAGCAACGATTCCACAACTCAGAGTTGGAGTAGCGATTCGACGAGAGCTGACACTCCTCGTGCGCCGAGCAATGGCGGGACTGGAACATCGGTTGTTTACAATAGACCAGGAGACGACTTGCGAAACGCTATGCATGAAGCCAACTACTTGAGCTTGAGTGCAATGGCGGAGCCTACCGATAGGCAGTCGTTCTCGAACCAGGAACTTTCATTCTCAACATTATTTGTCGCTGCCGCAAGCGTAGGAGGTGCCAATCCCAGTATACCTTCCGGAACCAATCAGTCAGTTTCCGGCTCCATAGCAGACTTCCGGGGTCAGATTTTCCCTTATGGTAGTAGGTTCGACGCTAATCAAGCTATCGAGGCATTCCAAACCTTTCTCGGAACAGCCCCAGCAACCTTCCCCAGCATAACACGCGGCGATCTCGAAGAACTTTACAACACTGTTTCCACGGCAGAGCGAGATGGAGTTCTCGAGATCATAAGTAGCGAGTCTCCAGATAAGGTTTTACTTGTAAGAACAGGCATTGCGCTTGGCATGCTGCTATCTCCAACCTACAGCTTCACGGAAGTGCTAGCATCAGAGCTAGCATCCAAAGCCGTACAGCTTATGCCACGCATCCTCGATCAGTCCGAGGATCTAGCGGTTGTACAATGTCTTACGGCTCTCACTGTTTATTCACTGTACACAACGTATGGCGGATCCTCATGGCATCTGCTTGGACTGGCAATGACACGTTGCATTTCTTCGGGTATGCATACATCGCGAATCTCCGACATGACTTCAGAGAGCGAGATCAAGAGGCAGAATGGTAGAGCTTTCTGGACGTTGTACGTCTTGGACACGCACCTCAGTACAGCCATGGATCGGCCATTTTGTCTCAACGACAGCGATATCATGATGTCGCCACCTTCGTCCCCACGAACTGCACCGATGGATACGGGCTTCACGGCTTTGCAACATCTGATCCAACACGCACAAATTCTGCGTTCTATCCGGAACCGCAGTGAGGACGATCTACTTTGTCATTTCGTCAATCTAAGTCATTGGAAAGAAACAATACCTGCCGCATTGTCAGCAGCGGGTTCAACGAAGAACCAACTCCATGTCAGAGGCCTCGTGGAACTACTTAAATGCCCTTTGATGGCCCAAGACGTGCATCGAGATATGATGCTGAGACACATTGAAGGAGAATTGGCTGACTACGCGGCTGCGACTGAGCATCAGCTTACCAGCCATCAACGTGCGCCTGGAGCCCTGGAGGGATATTTAATCTTTTCCATCGGTGCATTCAGCGCATCGCAGCCGCCTGATGAGGGACGGCAGAGGTGTGTGCTTCAATGCCTGAGCAGCCTCACTATGATATCGATGCGCTACACTGCTTTCCAGGGATTTCGCAGCATACTTGTTGCATTCCAGTCTAGATCAGCTTCTAGAGAGCAACTTCAGGCCCTGATGAGCGCATCTGAGATCGCTGTGTCACCTCAATTACAACAGCTCATTCTGGGCAATTTGTGAGTGGCTCATGGAGCCCATCGCAAAATGCACCTGCTGCCATTTGCTGCCATTGAGAGACCTTCGCCTTCGGCATCTTGCGTCCCAAGCCAGGTTGAATCGTGCGCTTGATTTCGTGCCTCGGCTTTACCAACCGGTGGGGCCAAACAGCCCAGAGAAAGACCTGGTTTTCCCACACCCTGTTCGGGAGAGGCGGACATCCTCCGACGCTAGTGCCGACATCTTTCGGTGGTCGTCCGACAAGCCGTGTTACTCTGCACATCATCTGTCCTTCGGCATGTAAGCGCGGTGTCGGCTTCTCCAATATGGCAGAATGCTGTCTGTATTTCACAACCTGGTGTGTCCCCATTTCTATAGGCATTGTACATCCATACACGTGTTGTTTTCAGTGTCCTGGCTGTATTTTGACAACCAGTTGCAGTTCGACATTGCCCTGGCCTTTAAATTTTTACTTACTTGAGTTCTCATCAGCCACCCTGCTATCACACCGTAGCTGTCGCCATGGCACCAGGACTTATTAACTCGGGAATTACTTCCGAATCCTCAACTTCGCCAAACGGAGTCAACAAGCCAACGGTTTATCTACTGGATACGTTACATCCTCAAGCCATCGAACGCGCCCGGTCGTTATTCAACACTATACTACCTTCAGACCCTAAGCACGCAGAGTGGAGGGAGCATGCTGAATACCTGGTGATTCGCGGATCGTACCTGACCACAGAAGACGTCGAAGCATGCAAGAACCTAAAGGCCATCGGAAAACAGGGTGTCGGGATCGACAAGATTGATGGAGAAGCCTGCAAAGCGCGCGGAATCAAGATCTTCAACACGCCCGGAGTCAATGCGCAGTCTGTTGCTGAGACAGTCCTCTCGCTCACGATGTCTGTAGCTCGTGAGATTGGTCGCATCATAGCGCTACAGAGTGTTGGCATCAAGGTACCGAAAGAAACTTGCTCCGGCTTGATCATCAACGACAAGACGGTCGGCATCGTGGGTATGGGGAACATCGGGCGGAAAGTCGCACAAATCTTTCAAGGCGGACTAGGGTGTCGTATAGTCGCATACGATCCACTATTGCCAAAGGATGCTTGGGAGGACATTGCGCACACACGGGCAGAGACGCTTGATGAGGTGCTCTCTGTCTCTGACGTTCTAACACTACACGTGCCTCTTCTGCCACAAACCCGAGGTCTCATCTCGTATGAACAACTTAAGATGATGAAGCGCACTTCCATTTTGATCAACGCCGCGAGAGGTGGAATCGTGCAAGAGGCGGATCTCGAGCGCGCTTTGAAAGAAGGTCTCATCTGGGGAGCGGGTCTTGACTGTCATGAGCATGAACCACCAACAAAAGAGGTATATGGTAGTCTTTGGGAGACCGGACGCGTCGTGAGTACTCCACACGTAGGTGCTGCAACGGCTGAGACGCAAATGCAGACTGCAATAGCAGCAGTAGATCGATTGTATGAGTATATTAAGACTAAAGGCGCTATGTAACAAACGAACTGCTCAACAAAACAATTTGCGCTCATCATTCATATTCCTGCTTATTCGTAACCGAGAAGATTCCAGCAATTCATCTCGGGATTTAGCGAACCCCATGCGTATTCACCCAGCCCTGATTCAAGTTGGTTCATAAGATCGTCTGTAAGACCAATAGCAAGTTCTTGCGGAAATTGAGCAGTTGTGATGTCGGGAAAGTCCCGAAGTGAGATGGCATCTGCTGTTGTTTGTTGCTGTTGTTCGTCGACGGATAGCAGATAATGTCCATCGACAGTACCTATGCCAGAATGTAGCGGATTCCCATTGACTGAATGACTCGAGAAAACTTCCGGATTTGAGAGATGGCCTGAGAGCTGCTGGCGGTGTTGTGAAGTAGGGGCCGCTGTGACGTTGGCTGACGAGGGTAGCAAATGCGCGAAACGGTCTTTCACAAACTCTTCCTTTATGACGTTGAACACAGTCGCAAAAGACCCTGCGTCTGGCATCTTGTCTTTGAAGAAATCTAATAGTGAGCCGCAGATATGAAGTGTTCGCAGAGGGTCCGTATGAGTCGCAGAGAGCCCATGGTTGTCGGTCAAGACATCCAAGATAACACAATAGATTACAGTGAGGCCGGCTGTGAAGATAACCTGAAAGTAGCTGCGCGTCCAAGTGATAGCGTCTTTGCTTCGTAGATTCGCATATAACTCTATTGTACGCGTTGCTGACATGTAGCACGCTCTCAGTATCTCCTTTAGTATGGACGCGCCAGAGAACTGTCGTGCCGGAAGGTTGTGCATAGCGCCACGGGCAAGCAGAAGGCGGTCTTTCTCATACATAAAGTCATGCCATTCAGATCGCTCGTACAGACATCTGGGTCCTGAGAAGACAGGTGCTGACGCCCGTATCGCATGAAGCTCGCTATCGAATTGAGAGAAGGACGAGTAGACATTTCCGATTGATCGGAATGCTGGTGTCCGAGTGCCGTCTGCAGTACTGCTTGAGGGTGATTTGCGACTGGTGTAAAAGGCTGTGTGCACCCTTGAGCTTAGACGTCGCAGCTTGATGCAGAACAAGTTGATTGAGACTTCGCTTGGGTGTACAGCCGTGACAGTCGGAACGGTATCAAGTACATTTGTCCCAGATGTTATGATCGTCTCGTCGTCCGCATCTATGGGCAGTGGCATGCCTATCTCTGACTCAAGTAGAGCGAAAGGACGACCCAGAATGCCAGAGCTGTAACGATCATGAACGTAACACTCCCAAAATATCCTGCGCTGGTGTTGTTCTTTCAAAGGGTCCGGATTGCCATATGCGTTCAGATGCAGACCCCATTCGATACATTGGCGCATACAAAGGTGAGATATTTCCCATATCGACGCTCCAATACGATGGTACATGCCGAACCTTGCTATGAGCAATAAGTTCTGGATAGCGTCCAGACCTTTGATCAGCGGTATATCGGCAAGGTAACTTTCGGCAGCAAGATAGTAGCCGTATGGATGTTCAGCACTTTGACCAGCACTTTGGCAAGCCCGATGTCTAGTTGTGTCGCTGATTGCAAATAACATGAAAAGGCGGAAGTTGTCCTGAGCGGAGGGTCTCCCTAGTGATGGCGGGACTGAGTAGACCCGGTTGAAGACGTCCAGCATCTCGCTGCGTAGTAGAAAAGCATGGTGGACATGGAACCGAGTGAAATAATTGTCAAACAATTGTCGCGCTTGTACCATCGGTGGCAGAGCGTTAGCAACGGGCCGATGCCTAACGATACGAGGACGCTTCTTCAGCTGCTCCAGTATTTGGGCGCGATGGTGCTGCCATTTGATATCAGAAAGAATGCTCTGCAAGAAACCTAATCCACTGCCATCGCCGACAAATCCGCTTTGAGTTCCCGAGCTCGCTGCCGTTTCAGGGCCTGCCGGTGTCGGATGGGAACCGTCCGATCTCTCAGTCGAGACTGGAGTGACAACGCCTGCATCGTCGAGTGCACCAAGTCTTTGCGTTAGGCCGCGCTCCTTCTCTTCTAATTGCCTGATATAATCACGTGCATACTGCTCTCCAGTAATCGGGTCGACAACGATACAGGCGACACTGCCTTTCGCACAGTTGGTACATTTGGGTGCTTGCCGGTCACATTTGACTTTGCGCAATCTGCATTTTTGACATGCAGGCAGCTGATTTTCGCGTTCTTCGGACATGACCCATGATCTGAAAGGTTGGTTTGTAGCACAATGTGGTGAAGGATAAGTTTGGTTGGGCGTCACAGGGAGCCCCGAAGTTGGTGGCGGTGTTCCTGAGCCGAGGGGCAGGGGCCGACCATTGGCGCTGCCGCGGCAAGATAGGTTGCCCAGGCCTTGGAGTTGCACTGAAGCCGCGAAACATGAGAGCCTTCAATCTGTACCACTGCCCAAGTCTCGGAAATCGGCACAAGAGTTGCCATGCAAAGATTGATACAATTCGTAAATATGAACAAACATGCTATGTGCGCCGATGGCTACAGATCTGACCCCATCAAGATAGAAGGCAAGAATCTTGGTTTGCTCGCCACTGCAAGGAACCATCCGCTCAAATCTTCCCTCAACCCATGCGCCTTTGCGCGGTCGATCCAGTCCTCCATCGGCATGACTTCCACTGGGTCTTGGATTTGTGTCGCGACGAACTTGTTCAAGTCCTGCGCCGAAACCTTTTTACTGCCCGCGATATGTTTGTATCGAATGCCGCCGGTAGATGGCAGAAGCGCTTCCTCTACAATGTGCTGAGCTACTTGATCCACAGGCACAATGTCAAAACAACCCGTCCACTTCTTCGGCAGTGGCACAGCCCTAACTTCCCTCGAAAATCGCAGCAGAGTGCCCAGCGCGTCATGCGGCAGGACATCATCCGGCTTCCCAGCACCCTCGACGACAGTGCTCGGACGATGCACTGTAACCGGTATTTTGTATGATGCTGATGCGTTCTCCAGGACGACTTCACTTGCCCATTTACTTGTCGTATATCCACTCGCACCCGTTGGCGGAATGTGTTCCGCTACTGACTTCTCGCGCAGCGACGACAGATTTGTTAGCTCGGCAACGCCGGCTGTAGATACGTAGTGAAACGGAATCCGGCGGGGTGTTGCCACACAAATGGGCTCTCTAGTCGACGTTACGTTCGCTGCACGGAGAGAAGCGTAAGGTTGGAGGAAAGAAACTGTAGCACCGTTATGCACAATCATGGTGATGCTGGCAGCCAAGGAGGAGAAGTCTTTTTGAGAGAGGCCAAGCAGCGGACTAGCCAGGTCACTTGCATGCAGATAAACATTGGGATAGGTGGTAACGATGTCTTGCAGGCTGTCGAGAGAGCGTACAGCAACACAGTGAACGGCAGCCACCTGATCATGACTGTATGTTTTCCGAAGCCATAGTCCAGAGCTTTGAGCATACATCCGGCAATACCAGTAGCAAATATCTTGGATCTAAGTCAGCTCAGGTATGAGTGTAATCTCATGTCATTCTACCCACCGCAGCAGCAAGAGTCAGCCAGTTATCAGCATGTTTCCACGGATTTGTAACGAACGACTGCGCATAGAACCTCAAGGCCACAGCTGCGACAAGTGTAACAAGACATACTACATGCACTGCAATGACTTCGCCCAATCGGTCTTCTGCCCAGTGCTGAAGCTGAATTTGGGTGGCGTTCGACATCTTGACGCCTCACGTCAAGAACTGATGGCTTGGGTTTAGGATAACAGTGGTGCACACTCTATTCTCCATGTCAACTACGAAGAAAAGGCCATGCACACAGGAAAATGTCGACCCGCAGATGACATGCAGCAAAACGCCGAATCTGCGGCTGAAGTGTGGGTGTGTATACCCATTGGATGGTAGCGAGGTAAGCAACAAATAGGCAATATCCGCCCGTTGCAGCGCAGTGTTTCTTATGTCTTACGGCAGTCTGGCAGCCAAGGTTGGAAGGCTCCAGGTATGCTTCAACAGCACCCCTGCCGTTGTCCAATACCGGTACTCCAACATGTACGGGTAAATTGACAATCGCCATACAACCTAGCTTTGGTGCCTTTTGATTCGAACATTGGCGATTAGACTGCACTTGCAGCTGCATTAGCTGCGGTCCCGAGGCGCACTTTCCCCGAGCCTGGCCGTTGCTTACCGGTCGATGCATATTCTGTATCTGTACCTCATCTCAAACGGACTGTCAGTTTCTTTGTTATGTATGCCTAGGTAAGATCACGGCCCTCGCGAGGGAGAGCATAGAACGCAGCGGCATGCTCTCCTTCTGTGGCGTACTTGCGCATGATCTGGAATAGGAGCCAATCGGAACACTCCATGATGAGCCCTCCCACCACGCCGCAATAAGCGGCACAATATATATACTACCGGGACTAAGTCGCGTTAACTCGCACTGGTTGGACTACTACCATGTTTACACCTCCTACCTCTATTAGCAAAACCCGGGACGCCTGCGACAGATGTCATTCCAAAAAGCTCCGGTGCGAAGGAAATGGGCAGTCTTGCACCAGATGCGCGCAGGCAGGCTCAGCATGTATCTTCAGCCCGCGTCAAGCGTACAACAGTTCGAATAGGCGGCGGCGAGGAGCGGATGCACCGAGGACCGCAAGGAGATGTTCAACCAGCATTTCAACGCGTTAGTATACCAAAGGCCACAGATTTAGTCAGCCTCACTGAACCCGTACAAGGTTCTACATCACAAGAGCCGCCCAATTGGACAACAACAAACCTGGGGACGCTTTTGACTCCCACCTCGGACACTGTTATCCTGCCACTGCCACGGGACGAAGGGATCGACTTCTGGAAACATGACGACTCGGGTACGGCAACAACTAGCGTGTTCTCAGACAGTGCCCAAGAAGTTAATCACATCTTACCAACAGACACGTTTGGGTCTGGTGCGACCATATTTCCTCGTGCGCGTAGCACGATTGTAGAAGCCACGCTCTCTTCCGTGGTCCACGACATCTTCCACAACCTCGGTACACTCCGACTAGAATTTAGAGCACTTGACGGATCTATACAGTATCCGGAAGTGTATGCGCGTATCTTCCAAGTATCACAAGCCTTTGTACAAATACTAAAGGACGTCGAAACCCAGGATGCTCCCTTTCTCGATCCCAAGGATCGCACTTGCGCTGAAGTGGAAGACGCAGATATCGTCTGCACAATGTCTTGCTTTCTGAAGCTTTTGACAGGCTACGATCGGATCTTTACATTTTGGCTCGATTTGATGACTAGCTCCCTAGAAGACGCAACTGTGAAGGCGACATTCCGCCACACAATCACTCACTTGTTACCGACTGTATCCATCGGCTCTTTTGTAGCTCCGCCTTGCTTTCTATCACAGCTGTGTCTGGTTCTCGACGTAGCCGGCCGCATGTACGACGAGTTCCAGGACGGGCTCAGGCGCTTTGCCAAGACACTCAACGAACGTGATCGTGCGATTTCGATGGAGCGCATTTCATATGTATCTGATACGACTACTGAGCTAGTCATAGGTCGCGAAAGATCAGTCGCTCTAAAAAAGCAAAAGGTGCTGGAATGTTCACGAGATGAGGGTCTGAAGAGGCGTTTCGATACGACGCTCGTATCTAGCTAGTATACTTGTCTATCTTTTCCCTGGCTCATACGGAAAGAGCATGAACCGCCAAGCAGTCGAGTGTACTGAAAAAGTAACAAGACCGCGTAGAGATGTCAAATACGAAAAGGATGGACATGGAACAAACATGCACATTTCATCATTTCTTCGCCTCACCTTTGGTTTCGAGACCAAACTCCGTCTTTATAGTGTCCTTGAGCTTGATTTCTTTGAAAAACCACGTTGCTAAGAATCCCAAAGCTGAGAACGCAATGAGAACCTGCCAAACAGTCTTGAGTGCACCTTGGTATGTTCGGATGAGTTCGGAGCGTGTCGGCTCCGTAAATGAGCCAATGTAAGCAGCCGAGGCCCTCTCGTATGCCATACCATTCTGCAACAACGCTCGTACATTCTCGTCAGTAATCTGCTTGGACAACTCTCCAAAACGTGTATTGAAGATAGCCGCTGGAATCGACACTCCCCAGATGGAGCCGAGACTACGGAGGAAACCCCACGTAGCGGTTGAGGAAGCGCCGTCGCTTTCCGGAAGACTGACCTGTACAGCTGGGAGAGTTGAGGTGGTTACGAGTCCAATACCAGCGGCTCCTATGATTTGGAAGACTACCCATTCAGCCATCGATGAGGCAGAATCAAGCATGGTGAAAAGCCCGGCGGCAAGGGTCATAAGGGCAAAGCCCACAATGTTCAGCGGTTTGTAACGGCCAGTAGCAGTGACCAAGCCACCAGCAATGATTGCGAAAGGGAGCACTACGATGACAGTAGGCAAGAACTGAACGCCCGACCGGGTGGGACTACTCAATAACACTACTTGAAAGTACAGTGGTAGGAAGTAGGTTATCCAGTAGAGTATCATGCCGTGGAGAAAGACTAGTAAAAAGCCAGTAAGCGAGGTACAGATGGTGAAAAGCCTTGCAGGAACAACCGGCTCCTTCTGACCGCCAACTGCTTCATATATGTGGAACCCGATCAATCCGAGAAGCCCTAGAATGAGAGGCACGATTGTACGCCAAGACGACCATGGGCGGAGTGTTCCTCCATAGGTTAAGGCAATCAAGATGGATACCATGGACAACGTGAGGATGACGTTCCCGGTGTAATCGAGTCGCTTGAGTTTGTTCTTTAGAGCCATCTCCTTGTCGTACTGAACTTGCAAGAAGGCGACCAAGAACATCAGGGAGACACCAGCTACGGGAAGACCAATGTAGAAGACCCAACGCCAGGAGGCTCTGTCGACCAGTATACCTCCCACAAAAGGTCCTAGCGAAGAGCCAACAGCGAAGAAGGCGAAAACGATCCCCATGACAGCGCCGCGCTTTCGCTGTGGAACTAGATCGCATACAATGATGTCGATAAGCATGTTGACACCTCCAAGACCGACGCCTTGAAGTGTGCGTCCAGCGATGAGCATTCCAGCGGATCTAGCACCTCCAGCAATACCGCTGCCAAGCGCGAATACAGCAACTGTGAATATAATAGGCCATCGGCGACCAAAGACGTCGGCCAGCTGCCCAAATAATGGTTGTACGACCGCGCTGACGTGGTTTTAGTCATGTGGACGATATCAGGACATTGATAGCACAAAGGTGCAATTTACCTGGAGAGAAACAGTGCGTTGACGAACCACACATAGAGTTCGCGGGAATCCAGCTCACGGGCGATGCTGGGAAGCGCTGTGGCGGTAACAGTGGCTTCAATTGCGGTAAGAAGGGAAGTAAAGCACAGGCTGAGAATGATCATCCAGAATCGCCATCCGTAGTGGGTCGTATCTTTCGGAGGAGCATCGTCTGCCCGACCCTCTGATGCTAAGCTAGTTTCTAAAGTGTGCGTGTATTGTGTAGCTGAGAAATCTTCCTTGGTCTCGCCGTCGGGTGTCGAAGTAGCAGTCATGTTATTTGTGCAGAGGGGTTCCAGGTGTTGAGTGCAGATGCAGATGCGGATGTTGTTCAAGGCGATAAGATACGTGCAAGTATCGAGCCACGGACGAGAGATTTCGGCTCCCACACATGGTTTTCGTGTCTGCATTGTCGAATTCGCCGGAATCTGCAGCAAAACATGTACGAGAAAGTGAAGTTGTGATCCAACACATTGGTTCGACCAGTGCTTGCACTCCAGCTGCTTTTTCCCATTGGTACTCTGACCCCTGTTCGGCGAATTCGCGCGTGCGTTTTGCTTACTCACACGCTGATAGGAGCGTGCAGGCTGAGAATCTTACCGGCGTGTTCGGTATTTTGACCAATGCTTCGCATTAACGAAAGCGCCCAAGTACGGACAGATGATTTGTCTCGCTTGAAGCATAACTTTCCGATCCAGGAAGCTATCATTAGGCCTTCGCCATCATGCATCGATTTTTCAAATCCGAGTTCTTCAACTTTGAGTTCCTGCGCATTCTAAGCACGAGGCGCTATGGGAGTTGTGGAATCGGAGAAGCTCTGGAGGCTGCGGTGCATATCAAAGACGGTGACCCGCATTCATGGAGTACACAATGGTCAGTCCTCAGTACTAAAGCTGAGGAACTAAGCAAAGAAGCGCAAAAGGCGGGCAATACGATCACGGCCCATAATGCCTTGTTGCGAGCAAGTAACTATCGCCGTGCAAGTCAATACATGCTCAACGCGCCCGACCCTACGGAAGCAACCTTGGCGATTACCAGGCTAGAGAAAAGTGAGACCCTGTTCAAGCAAGCTCTATTGCTTCAGGAAAGGATCACTGTCCATGAACTAGCAATCCCCTACGGCAAAGGCATACATCTTCCAGCATACTTATATGTGCCAACACAATTTGGAAAAGATAATGGCGTACCTCTGGTCATCAGCCTGTCGGGAGGCGACTCCACGCAGGAAGAGATGTTTGTGGTGTCTGCGTACGCCGGATTGCCGAGAGGATATGCAGTCCTTACCTTTGGAAGCCCAGGACAGGGCATCTTGCTGAAGCGGGAAAGGTTACCCATGGAACCAGCGTATGAGAAGGTGACATCTACGGTACTAGACTTTCTCGAGCATAACAACTCGAGTGACCAGGCCAACTATGGGTTGGATCTCAACCGGGTTGCCGTTGTGGGACAGTCGCTGGGCGGTTATTTTGCACTGAGAGCCGCAGCCGACCAGCGTGTCAAGGCGTGCATCGCGGTCGATCTTCCATGTGTCATGTGGGATTTGGCGCTCTATCGTATGCCGGGGTAGTTCATGAGAGGATGGGTCCGCGGTATTATCACGGGCTCCATGTTCAAGTGGACGGTGGGCCTGCTGTCGAATCTCAACTACCAGCTGAAGTGGGAGGTGGCGCACTTGCAAGCTATGTCAGGTGCAGACAATGCGGCAGACGCTTTTCGATTCTTCAAACAGCCCACTCTGAGGAACGCCGACGGGAGCCAATATCTTCGTAATGTCAAGTGCCCGGTGTTGGTCACCGCGCCTACCAACGCAATGTACTTCGATCTTGAAGTGAATTCGAAGAAAATCTTTGCGACACTTGATCATATGAAATAAGGAAAAAGAGATTATTGGGTCCCTGGCACACTGTATGAAGGCGGGCTGCAAGCCAAAGTGTGTGCCTTCGAGTTGGCAAATTATCGCATCTTTGGTTGGTGCGACGAACATCTGTAGATATGACGTAGCAGCAATGACAAACAGTGCCCAAACAAGCGTTTTGATTCCCAACACATCAGTCGTTGCCGTTAGTGAAGTTGCTTCGGGAAGTTTGAAACCTGTACTGTGAGGTGTAATACATGTGAGGTCGGAAGAGATGGTCCGGAACTTGATAGGGCTAACGCACGCTATGACCATTAGCTCCACCAAAAAAGTTCAGCGGCAGGCGCGAACTCGACTGCAGCCAGCAGCGCATTCACTCACCACCAGCGCCTCACAGACATTTAGAGCATGGCGCCGCCTTCCTTCTCGCCCGACACATCCATCTCTTCGCATACCCTCTCAATCGGCTCCGCCCAGCCACCACACATGGAACTCCAGCCATCCGCCGCGACTTCGCCCACAAGTCTGCTCACCAAACCACTCGCTTTTCTCCAGCCCACCCCGCAGCTCAATGCGACATTCCTAGCCGCCGCCAAACGCTACCTGGACCCGGTGGCTGCCGGCGTAAGCGCGTCGCAATCCCAACGACAGCAAGATCTGCGCAAGAAGCGGAAGCGGGGTGGGGGTTACGACGATGATATCACCATCTTACACTTGAAGAAGGTGCATCTGGACGGATTCGGCGTGAATCAGGTGTTTGAGCAGACGCGCAAGATTGTCGAGGCGACGACAGATGAAATCGAACTTTCGCTACCCGACCAAGAAGACGGAGTTGTCGCTGTGCGCGACGGCGAAGACGACGATGAAAGCATCGAGGAAGCTGAAGAGGAATACCACACCGACTCGGACATAGGCGAAGAGGGTGTGGATTGGGAGTACGATGGAGTAGACGAAGACGAGGATGAAGACGCGCTGGATGAAGAGCAGGACGACGAGGACATTGACATGGAAGACGGGGCAGAGGGCATCTTCTCTGATGCTGAGTCCGACGATGCACCTGCTGAGACCTACCAACCCGACCCCAACGGTCTCAACGACGGCTTCTTCTCTATAGACGACTTCAACAAGCAGACCGATTTCCTAGAACAGCAGGATCAGAGAGGGGAGGGTGCGGATAGCGACGATGACGAGGTAAATTGGGAAGCAGATCCCATGGAAGACGGCGCATCCAAAGTCAAGGCCAATGGTGTTGGAGGGGATGCATCAGACGATGAGTCTGACGAAGGTGGGCCAACCTTTGGCAATGCAGATCTGAATGCACCGGAAGGCGATAGTGGCGATGAAGACGACGTCGAGGAAGGTGACCTCGATGGCCTTGATACCGGTATGAACGCCAACAACGTCATGTACAAGGACTTCTTCGCACCTCCCGCGCAGAAGGCGAGCAAAAACAAGAGCGGCAAGAAGCGCGGACGACCCAACCCCCACAACTTCCCTGAGAAGCAGGCACAACCGGAAGAAGAAATCGAAGAGGACGTAGAAAAGACTATAGCCAAGGTACACCGAGATCTCTTCGAGGACGACGACGATGTCGAAAGCGAAGGCGATCTATCCGACGTAGATCCCGCAGATCCGAAGTCGAGGCGATCAACACACGAACGAAGACAGGCCAAGATCGCAGAAGAGATCAGGAAGCTGGAAGCGGCCAACGTCGCGAAACGGGAATGGCAGCTGTCTGGTGAAGCTCGTGCAGCCGACCGACCACTAAACTCGCTTCTCGAAGAGAATCTTGAGTTTGAGCGAGCCGGCAAGCCCGTACCGATCGTCACACAGGAAACCTCCGAAGACATTGAAGCCCTAATCAAACGCCGCATCTTAGCCGGAGAGTTCGACGAGATACATCGCCGACGACCTGACGATCTAGCCACCGGTCCTCGCCGCGGCCGCATCGAACTCGACGACACAAAGTCCGGCAAAGGTCTCGCCGAAATCTATGAAGAAGAGCACCTCCGCGCCACCGACCCCAACTTCGTCGAAGCCAAGGATGAGAAGCTCAAGAAGGAGCACGACGAAATTGCCGGCCTCTGGAAAAGCATATCTGCCAAGCTCGACTCCCTGAGCTCCTCGCACTTCAAACCCAAGCCTGCAGCTCCTAACCTGGAGATCCGCACCGACGCTCCTGCTATCGAAATGGAAGATGCGCGGCCCACTGCTGGCGGCGAGGTGGCCAGTGCAAGCATGCTCGCGCCTCAGGAGATCTACAAGCCTGGCGAGGAGAAGACCAAGACGGAAATTGTCACAAAGAGTGGTATGCCAGTTGCCCGCGAGGAGATGTCGCGAGAGGAGAAGATGTCCAGGCGGAGACGCGCCAAGGAGAGAGCAAAGAAGGCCGGCCTTAACAAGCCGGTGGAAAAGAAGACAGAGGGCAAGGAGAAGAAGAGGGGCGAGAAGAAGCAGCTCGTCAGTGATCTCAAGAAGGGTGGTGTACAGATTATTGGAAGAAAGGGTGTGCTTACTGATGTTGAGGGCAAGGAGGTCAAGGAGGCTGCGAAGAGGGGCGCGGGAAGCTTCAAGTTATAAGACGACGGCTTGGAGATTTTGGGCGTTTGTTGCAGAACTTGGGAACGCAATGTAGTACTTTCAATGCCATTGATGTTGGTTGAGGCTTGGCTATTTATTCCCGGATATATTCTACTGCGACTTGTGTAACGTTGAAAGGCATATTCCATCAGGTTGATTGATGGTTGATTTTCTTGTATTTACGTTGAACCATAGTACACTAAGCATTTCAAACGGTTACGGAACGTCGAATGTATGCTCCAAATGTTCATTCACAGTGAGAAGAATCCAGTCTTTACAGAAAAAGGACAAGTCATTTTGGTAGTGTAACTCGTTCGTATATACATCGGGCTCTACATAAATCATCTCTATATACATACATCCTCATAACGTCATAAGCATACCCTATCGAAATTCATCATCGCATCACAGCACAATCATACCAAGTCCACAGCCGAAGAACGCCACGGCCATTCCCCAGACACTTAATCTCGAAACAAAACTCGCCTGACTACTACTGCTGCTGCTGGGCTCCGCTTTACTCGTTACGCCACTCTGGCCACTCGCAGTCGCTGTACACTGCTCACCACACGCGTACCCGTTGGGACAACAATTACCACCAGCATCCGCCGGACAGCTATACCACGCACTAGGACAGCTTCCCGCGCTCTCAGCACCCGTCGGCGCCACAATGACCACACCGTTGGTGTTTACAATAGTATCGGACGGAGGTAAAGCGCAGGAGCCCGTGGTCTGGCAATCCCTGCCCACACGACAGCAGCCGGACGGGTAGTATGCGCTGCAAACGTAGAAGCCCGTGGGGCAGATGTTGTCACTGGAGGCGCCGGTTGTCACGGCGGCGCTGGTAGGACGAACAGGGGCGTCTGGAGCGCGTGTGGAAGAGGGGTTGTCGTCGTCGCCGAGGCAAGAGGCGCCGGTTGCGCAGGTACGACCGTTCATGCAGCAGCCGCCGCCGAGGGAGGCGGGGCATGAGAACCAGCCTGTTGAGCAAGTGTATGCGGAGCGCGAGGTTGAGGTGGATGTTGGTTCGGGGGTCGTGCTGGTTGTAGATGATGTGGTTGGAATGGCGGCGGCAGTCGTCGAAGTAGAAGTGGCAGACGGGGTGGATGAAGAGGTAGAGGGCTGGACAAAGGACGTCGATGTACCTTCCGCAACGCCTATTCAAATTAGCCTTTTGAATCCAATGGACTTGTCAACAAAAGAAGATGTAGCGACTTACATCCAATACCCTGACACTTGAACCCCGGCAAACAGCACCCGCCGTTGTCCGTCCCAGGACAACTCGTATACCCGCTCGCCTCGTCGCAACTCACACTGCCTGCGCAAGTCTGGCCACTAGGACAACATCCCACATCGCCTGCAACCGAGCTCCCGGTCACACTGATACAAGTGCTTCCCGTGCCACAGCACACATCCGGTGCGCCTATACTCTCGCAACTCGCCGTTCCATCTGGGCACTTGAATTGGCGGTTCATCAGTATATCTCTGATGTGCATACGCGCCAGCCAGTCAGACTGCGCTAGAGGGCGCAGAGGCGAGAGAGCCTGAGAGGTTGCATTGCCAAAGACGTCGTAGTCTGATCTCCTCGAGGATTGTGGTTGAGACGGCGTGTCCTGGGCAGCGAATATCCAGTTGTCCAGCATGAACATCTCGCCTTCGTCCATGCTCATCTTCTTCACTCCAATGGGTTTCTCATGTTGCAGTCTTTGCTTGACGCTCAGCCCACGCTTTGCGTGGACTTCGTCTTCGGGGAAGTATTTCAGGTGTTGGGGTACGTTGTGCGGCCATTGCGATTCCTCTGCGGCGAGTCCTGGCGTTGCTGCGCAAAGAGCGATGATAGCAGGCGGGAGGGCGAGCAGGTGTGGAAGATGCATTGTTGCCAGTGATTTCAAACCGGAGAATATTTCAAGTACAACGGTACGGTACAGATGCAGGAAGAAGCATGACAAGCTCGGTGAGAAGTGTGGTTGCTTGCTCGTGGTTGGGACCCCAAGTGGCTGGTGGAGCGCAACGGAGGTAACGACTCAGGTAATTGGCGAGGTTGGTATGCGTTGGCGCCTCACCGCCGGCAGGGCACCGCTGGGTTGGCAGGGTGCATCCTAGAGCGCCCCGTTGCTGCAACGATGAGGCTGAAGATCTGCCAGTAGCGCGTGCTAAGACGAAACGAAGTGTGTTAGTGGTGAGATGGGGAGAGGGATCCGTCCAACGTCATGGCGGCGTGTTCCGCTGATTCCGAAGTCTTGTGCGTGCAGGGGCTCGACCTACGTCCAACGACACGTCCATGTTCGCAACAGCTAATCAATCACGACCATGGCCAACCTGCTGTGGCGCCCAGGACGACAGGTGTAATTGATTCGTTGTCTTTGATTTTCTATGCACCTGGGGTAACCAATCCTTGGCGACTCCCAGATTATTGCGTAGAGGTCCCAGTTGTGGAAAGCGCAAAGCATGTATTGCCTGCTTGTCAACCACACTTTCGTATCACGAACATTGTCATCATGTAATCCAGATATCAACAAAGACGATTGCTATGGTTGGTTCCTTCGTCGGGATTGTCTGACAATATATACTGTAGGTTGGAACACACCATCAATAGCCACAGAGCATCTCATAAACAGTCCGAATATCCAGCCTATCCATCCCCAAAGCCACCCAGATAGTATACGGCGCGTCCAACCCCGACAACCATATCCTCGCCCATGGTACTACTGAATTATCATCTCCCGTACGACCTTTCTTTTAGCACCTGAGTTAGTCCTGGAGAACAACCGTTGCACGCCGGATCAAGCCTGAAGACCCTTGCGAGCCTTGCGCTCGCTCATACGGGAGTTCTTCAACATGGCGACCCAGATAAAGCAAGGTGCGAAGGCAATAGTTCCCATCAAGACCATGACCCTTTGCGCATCACCGAATGCATGGATTACAGCCTCGCGCTCCGGGCTACCCCATGGCAGTCCCAACTGATTCCGGATGTCGCCGTAGATCATCGGAGCTAGATGCTTCGAGCCTTCGGGGAGGTACTCGACAAGTTTCTTAGGTACAATCTGCGCCCAGAGAGTGCCGCTGACAGACTGGCCGATGGCACCGCCGACAGCAGTAGTGACGTTGAGGAGGGCGATGGCGACGGCAACCTGGTCGTGCGGTACAGCCATCATGATGGCGACTTGCTCAACATTGTAGAGCATAGCGCTTGCCATAGCACCGAAGACCTCGACTGTGACCAGCGCCGCGATTGGACTACCGGGATGACGGAGCATGATCAACAGACCAGTGCATGTAATTTGAATGGGAACGGCGATGATGGCTCCCCATTTGTAGGTATCGGTATACTTCATCGCGAAACTGATGATGATTGCCCAGGTACACGAAACAATGTTGAAGATGTTGGTAATGTATCCGGCCTTGGCGACAGGAAGCTGGAATACGACTTGAAGGTATGACGAGTACATCATCCGGTAGGAGCTATTCGTTCGACATCAGTACATGTCTCTTTGACCAGCCAAAAGACTTACTAGAAAGCAATCCAGGCGTTGGCGCCTAGCAGGCATGACGCAACAACTGTACGGTCCTTCATGAGGTAGTATGGAAAGAAGGTCTTCGTGGCGTAGAAGCGTTCCCAGATCACGAAAGCCACGAGGAGCATGAGTCCGAAAACAATCATGCATATAACCAATGGAGACCCGAATCCATGGTGCTGGTAAGTTGCGAGAGGCCAAGGAAGAAGGAGGAGAGAAAAGCCGCTGACTACGAGCAGGAGCCCAATTACTGTGACACGTTAGAATTCAATCTACTTTGACAAGAACATGACTTACGGTCAAATTCGATGGACCAGTGCTTGATGCTCTGGAAGACTGTTCTGCCGCTCATTTCGCGTGCTTCGACGCCCGCTCTCCGTGCTCGTCTGCCCATGAGCCAGAAGACAGCACAAAACGACAGGGAGAATACAGGGGTCAAAATGGCGAAAGAGCCATAACCCCAACGCCAGGTGCTATGCTTGAGGTAGGTTTCGCCGAGTTTGGGACCGGCAAAGGTGTTGATGACATAGGGGAACCCGGTGAATGCCATCCAAATTAGCCGGTTCTCCATGAGCGCAGTGTCGGCAATGAAGATGTTGAAGACGTAATCGACACCGTTCATGCCTGTCCAGTAGATGACCTGTGCAGCGCAAAATGTCTGAACGTTTTGACACAAGGCCATGAGGATGAGAGCTGGAAGTTATCAGTCAGCTAGACAATTACATGCCAGTTGGATTGGAAGGACTTGCAGGCGATTATGAAGATCAAGCACATCAGAAAGCCTTGGGGCCGGCCAACAAGATCAATGAACATGGCTAGCGGTAGCTTCGATACGCCTCCGACGATGTTGGCGACGATGTCGGTCATGGCAGTGAGACCGTGCATCAAGAATGCCGACGTGACGTAGGGTCTCCATGAGAAGTTGGTTTGTTGTTGGAGAGAGTTGATGAAGGAGATGAGCATGATACTGAACTGTCAGCGTTGCTGCACACACCGTAGCAGCGAAAGGTAGACATCAGATAACGGGAAAGGTGTCCTTTAGGTAGGGGGATGCTTGCAATAAAAGGAGAGCGAAGATATACTTACGCTCCATAGGCCGCGATGAGCCAGTTCCTGGACCAGATGATGGTCAGGCCCTCCATCTCCGCAGGACCTCGCAGTTGCTCACTGTCGCTATTCGCAGTGCTCGGCAGTGTATTCATCGTTACATTGGTGTTGCTGTCGAACTTGCCCGCGCTGGGCGGGTTCTTGACCGAGTTGGCGTCGACGAACTCGCGCTGCTCAGAGGGATGCATTCCTGCAATCTTCTCCATCTGGGGCGCATATCCAGTCGCCATGATGAGTCAACGCTCGTAGATGCTGCGGTAGTTTCAGCTTCTGGGAGTGTTATCTTGTATCGCGATCTGTACCTTGTCGCGGAACAGTTACGATTGATCTGCGGTGGCGGCGATGTGGCAAGGGAGAAAAAGCCTGGTTGCTCTCGCGATGGGTTGCAATAGGTAGTAGACAGGACTGGCGAGACTGGAAAGTTCTATACAGCAAGCTTGCGGATCGTGCACGGACAGTGAAAGTGAAGAAGAGAATAACAGAAGCACAAACATACGAACTACGGTCGAACACGGTGAACAGAAAGTGGGGTAGACGTCACTTCTCATCATACAGCGTCGTCATGGTGAAAGTGAAAACCCAAGAGGAAAGAGCATCGTGACCTGAGGTAGTCACGATAGCGGTCAAGTCCGAACATGCGAACGCACGACGCAGGAGAGAAAGAGTGTTCCTCCTAAAATGAGTACCGTCATGCAGTAGAACCAATTGCTAGCCTGAATGAGAACGTTGTTGACATGAACTGCTGTCAGAGTGAGCAGGTTCCATGGTGCTAGAAAACATGAAGTGGACTGCTTGACGATCTCAGTTGCCTTAAGCCGTGGTGATATCAAGTTTCATTGGACCCTGGTTATATGCGGCTCTTTCTCCCGAATAGGACAATGCACTCAGCGTCTAGACACATCAATTCGTGCAAGATCAAATATGGAGGAAGGCTTTAGGCGACAAATACAAATGAGCAGATGATGTCTTCATCGGCGACCCGCATGCAATGAAACTTTGTGAGATATGATTTGAGCATGGTATAGTAACACAGATTCATGTCGTGCGCGTGGCTACGTGTTAAGTCGACACCATATGTCTAAGCATTGAGGAACCATAGCACCCTGCTGCTCGGTGAAATCTCTAATCCTCTCTTTGATGCTGACAGCTTCCCTAGTTTGTTGAATTTGAACGCCCCGCCCACATGCTGCCATATATTCAGTCGCTACTACCACTAACCGCCACGCCATAACTCCCCAAGTCGCCTGATGAGACTCACGTATTACGAAGTCTGCAGACTGACCTGCTCAACACCTCTGCTCACCTCCTCTTCCGCGGTCTTCGCCGCAGGTCCATCCTGTCCCTTCTCAGCAGCCTCAACACCCTTGGCCTTCTCAGCATCTTTCTTTGCCTTCTTACGCTCCTTCTCTGCCTTCTTAGCTGCTGCCTTCTTTGCCTTTTCTTCCTTGGCTTTGCGAGCCTCTTCTCCACCAAACTGCTCGCGCCACTCTTGCTCCTTCTCCGGCTTGATTTGGCTGAAAAGGTAGCCAGCGGTGCCGATCTTGTGGCCGACAGGAAGGGAACGTGCCTCCCAGGTGTCAGGAATGATCAGGAATTCGGCGTTGAGTTGTGATAGGATAGCGGTGGTGGTGTCAGGCCTGTGATGCTGTTAGTCACGTGTTGTATGACTGAAGTGCACAGCGCTAGAGAAGCAGTACTTACATGTATGGTTGAATCAGACTGGCGAGAAGATGGATCTGGCTCAAGGCTAAACCAACAACAGCGGCGCAACGGTCTGGCTGCTCGGTTGCCAACTTGTTGTCCAGTCGGTTGTCTTGCAGCAGCAGGTTACCCAAGCTTGAGACGTGCAGCGCAGTGGCAAGCGCGGCACGGATCTTGACATCCTCTAGCTCGGCAATGTATGTCTTCAAAGAGTCATTGACCTTCTTCTTATGCTGGGTGAAATAGTCGTCGTCGAACTTGGTGTAGTCCGGCACAACTGAATCGTAGATCTTGACGTTGTTTACGAACTTGATCACGCGGTTAATGAAGTTGCCCAGGTTCTTGAGAAGCTCGTTGTTGTTTGCCGCAATAAAGCCGTCCCACTCAAACTCGGTGTCGCCAGTCTCAGGTCGGTGTGAAAGAAGGTAGTAGCGCCATACGTCTGATGGGATGCCGGTTTCCTTGGCGTTGTTTCCGAAGACACCAATGTTTCTTGACTTGGAGAACTTGCCCTTTTCATAGTTTAAATACTCTGTTGTCGAGATGGTGTTGAGCATAGTCCATTTGTCCTTGGTACCAATCTGCGAGCAGGGGAAGACGACCGTGTGGAACGGCACGTTGTCCTTGCCCATGAACTGGTATAGCTTGACGTGCTCGGGGTTGTGCCACCATTGCTTCCAGTCCTCGGTGTAGGTTGCTGTAATCGAGACGTAGCCTATGCAGGCGTCAAACCACACGTACATGACCTTGTCCTCGTAGCCCTGTTTCTGGTCAGCTAGATCTTAGTGTATCTTCAAGGATCTGTCGTACTTCGAGTGGCACCGCTGTTCCCCACTTTAAATCACGAGTGATACCACGCGGCCTAAGGCCTTCCTTCAGCCAGGATGAAGTGATCTGAACACCATTGGAACTCCAGTTTCCCTCCTTGCTCGCCTTTTTGAACCACTCCTCTTCCATGGGTTGTAGCTTATCAAGGCAAAGGTAAACGTGCTTGGTCTCGCGTGGAACCGGCGTGGCGCCGTCAAGCTTGCATCGTGGGTTCTTCAATTCCAGAGGGTCAAGAAGGTGTCCGCATTTGTCGCACTGGTCTCCACGGGCGTCTTCGTATGCGCACAGCGGACATGTGCCCTCGACGAATCGGTCTGCAAGGAAGCTCTTGTGTGTCTCGCAGTATGGTTGTGTTGTGGTTTGCTCCTCCAGAAAGCCGTTCTTGTAGAGTTTGGTGAAGATATCCTGTGCAATGTCGGTCTGTTGTTGGGTGGGTGTGCGTCCGAAATGGTCGAAGCTGATATTGAACCACTTGTACACCTCGCTGTGTAGCGCATAGTATTTGTCGCACAGCTCTTTCGGGGTGACCTTCTCTTCTATGGCTTTGGTCTCGGTCGCAGTACCGTACTCGTCTGTTCCGCAGACGTATAGTGTGTTGTATCCGCGAGCGCGAGAGAAACGGGCGAAGACATCGGCCGAGAGTACGGAGCCGACGATGTTGCCCAAATGGGGTACGTTGTTGACGTAGGGTAGTGCGCTAGTAATGAGCACATTGCGCTCGCCCTCGACGGGGAGGATCTTCTTTGACCCAGTCATGAGAGGTTGTATGCTTCTGTGATTTAGTTTGGGGGAGTCGAATAGAGGAAGGGATACTCCAAGCTTACTCGGGTACACTCGGAACTATGTGATTGATTGTGGAGATAGTGCGGGATTCGTGAGGGCGCAACACGGGTATATGCAGCTCAATGTTTCTTTGGATGAGTTTCTGAGTCAAACGCGAACGGCTGCACACATAGTGGATGTGTGGTGCAGCTGCCCCGCCAAAACTTACCCCGCCAGCCACAGGTGACGCCACAGAGTCGGCTGGACCCTCTAGGGCTGACTCCGACTCTGCACCATCAAGTAAAGAAACATCGTGACTAGCAAGGGACAATAAAAATTGCGATTCCAAGAATCTGTAAAACTCTACCTTTTCTGCGATCCTGCATGTCATTCCGGACTCGCCATTTTCTCCTGTGAAAACAAAACAACATCCTGCTCTGCCGCAGCATCGAACCAGATTTCAAGACGTATCGTGGATCAAATAGACCTAGGTCGCAGCATTCTTCACAAACGTCATCGTAATGGCATCCGAGACCGATCCCTTCGACGATATCCTAACCCTAGAAGACACCCTCTACACAGCCGCCTACGACCTTGGCGCGTCAGATGGAGCACATGCCGGCCGGATCGAAGTGAGTCTCGGATCCACGCAATGACGATAATATGTTTCTCTGACTTCCATGCCTCCGTACATGTAGGGCCGAATCTTTGGTCTAGAAAAAGGTTTCGAAAAGTTTGCTGAACTCGGCCACCTCCACGGGCGAAGCGTCATATGGGGTTCACGACTCCCCAGTCTTGTTCCCAACAACAACATCAAAGGAGCCGACGAGACAGAGCCCGAGAACAAAACCCTGCCTCTACTTTCCAAGAACGAGAGGCTGAAGAATAATACTACACTATTGCATTCGTTGACGGATCCTGAAACATTCGATACGGCGAATACGGAAGAAGCTGTCGCGGATTTTGACGACAGATTCAAACGCGCTGGGGCCAAGACGAAAGTCATTGAACGTATCGTGGGGGAGACGGATGACACTTTGTCTTCAAAATCCCCTGACGGCTCTCCTGCACCGGCTGGCAGAAAAAGCAAGACTGGCCCTGTGCGCGTCTCTGGACAGAGTAAGACTGCAGGTGGGAATGCAAAGAAGGGAGATGACAGTATGGAGGACTTTGCAGGATCGAAGTTGTTGCGTTGAGGCGATTAGAATCGTTGCGCTGAAAGTTGCCTTTATTCTCGCTACTTGTTCAGCCGCATTGGGACCAGAATCTCCCGGACAACGTGCCACTCTTTGACTCGATGGAGTAGCAAAAACCGCGATTAAGCACCGGAAGACATCTTGGTGTTTATGGTATCTTTGCTCGTCCAACAACGCGGGCTGAGTATCACACAGCTTCGGACAGCAGGACCTCCCACCACCATGACCATCGAAAGCGCTGTTCTAATAGCGCGAACACGTCAATCGTATCACTTCCATCCATGGCAGCAACAAGAAGAAAAAGTTGAGAAAAGCGCTAGGCTTCAAATTAGTTTGCTATCGTACCGGGCACTACCCAGCGTCTTAGCCCAACAACCACTACACCGTGCTATGACATACGAGAAGAAGAAAAAGTATCAAGGTTCCATCGTAACTAAAAGGATATTTGAGAAAGGTTGTCAAATCTGAAGTGTCACAAAGTCACCCACTCTCCCGTGCTCTGGCTCGTCCCTCCGTTTCGTGCTAGATGATGCACTGGTATCAAAACATGTCCGCAACGCAAATCGCCCGTCCAACGCACTCCCACTCAGATAGCATCGATCATGGGGACAGGTCTGTCTATGCGAGGCTCTAGCCCTCCACCGCCGCGCATGCTCGGCAGCTTGCCACCGCTGCTATCGACGCGATTATGATTTGGGAACTCCTAGTACCCGTTCATGGTCATGCGCTGGCTGTTCCTGCTAAGCTCGCGGTCGGCAGCGGGTGAGATGGGACGCGAGGAATGGCCCTGGTGAGAGCTCTCCTTGAGGGCAAGCAGCTGCTTGGCGCGGAACGACTCGTAGTGGATTTGTGCGGTCGTCTCGATCAGGTCTTGCAAGTGGGTGCGGGTGAGGAAGTTACGGAGGTAGACGAATTCGCAGTGGTTCTCGTCCTCGACTGGTACGTGTTAGTGGAGCTCGTGTGGAAACAGATGTAGCTAGCTGGCTGGCTTACCGTTGATGATACCCCACTTGTTCTGGCGGCCACGGACGTTCTTGCCATTGACTACAACGGTCCTCTCAGAGCCGACAACGGCAAAGGGAAGGAGCTCCTGCTGCAAGTTAGCTGCTGCCCCGTGGTAATGCGGCAATGGGGAATCTCACCTTGATGGCCTGCTTTGCCTGGACCTCCTCGTTGTCGTCCTCCTCGTTGTCGTAGGGGTACATGCGCAGGTTGTGGAACTGGAACTCCTCCTTTATCCTGTGCTTGAACTCGGCACGCTCCTCGAGGGTCAAGCTGTCGCTCTTGGCGATGACGGGTACGACGTTGACAAACTCGCTCAGCTTCTTGAGGACGACAATGTCAATGGGCTTGAGGGCGTGGCCAGATGGCTGGATGAAGAACAGGCAGCAGTGGATGCGTGTGTCCTGGAGGTACCTCTCACGCTGGGCGGTGAGTTCCTTGCGGAGGTAGGCGCTGTGTTGGTCCTTGATGTACTTGACAATGGGGTCCCAGCAGCGCTCGTTGTTGATCAGGTCACCGTAACCGGGCGTGTCGACGATGTTGAGGCGCAGACGGACGCCGTTTTCCTCGATGATGTGTGAGACGGGGTGGATGTTGGTGGTGCTGCGGACCTCCTCGTCGGGCTGGAAGCGACCCTTGCTGTCCATGAGGTGCGAGGCGAAGAGGGTGTTGATGAGCGTCGACTTGCCGAGACCAGTCTGTCCTGTGTAGCGTTAGAAGCAGTCGTGACAGGTGGCTATTCAACCCTCATACCAACGCAGATGACATTGAACTGGAAACCCCGCTTCACCGACTTCCTCTCAATCTGCTTGGTGATGCTGTCGAAACCGACATAGCTGTCCGGGAAGATGGGCTGCGACTGGTTCTGGTTGTATGGAGCAGCCATTGTGAGTAATGAGAGGCTCGACTCCGGAGAATTGGGTGATGGAGGCGTGTGGGTGCGGGTGAGGGTGAGCTTTGGGGGGAGAAAAGGGTACGAGGTGTCGTCGTAATAGAGTAAATAGTCAGGGTCGCTGCGCTGGCGACTTTCTCGTGGAGATGCAGGCGCGGGAAAGGGGGCAGCTAGGAAGCGAAAGCGCGCTAGTGTTCTGGCGGTAAGGCCGTGGGCGCGCGCCCAAGAGCTCGGACCCGCCGACTACTGGGGTGCAGAGACATTTTACAACACCATCGCCAACATCGCATAGTGACCCCGCAAGCCATGGCACTCGCCCGCCCGCTCCCTCCGCTGTGGCAGACGCTGCTGCCCGGCCTCAATGGCCCAATGCGGCCCGTCCTCAGCCCCAACTTCCTGCAGCGCCTCTCACAGCCTTTTGGGGCAATCAACACACCCTTCGGCGCTCTCGCCATACCCTCGCTGTCTCTCCCCTCAATACCCTCACTAGCCGACATCTGGGACGGCATACTCAACGCGGTGCCCAAGAAGAAGACGTCATACCGCAAGAAGCGACAACGCTTCATGGCGGGCAAGGGCCTAAAAGACATCACGTCGCTGAACACATGCTCTGGGTGTGGAAGGGTCAAGCGGTTACATATTCTGTGCCCCTACTGCGTGGATGGTGTGTAACTCGAAATGTCCCAACGTGGTCAAAACCCTTGGCTAACCCATGTGACAGCCATCAAAACCAACATCTTCGGCCAGCTCAACTGGTCCATCCGCCAACCAACCAAGAAGATGGCTAAGCAACTCGGACGCGAGAAGCGAGAAGCGGCCCAAAGAGCGCGAACCATGATGCCCGATCCAAGGAAAGAGAAGGAGGAGCAAATATTGAAGCATACCGGCTGGAAAAGGTGATGACGGAATTATGGAGGTGGTAAGTAAAGAATGAAGAATACACTCGGCGAGAGGCTGGAAGAAAGGCCCGGGGGGCGTGCAAAGCGCATGCCACTCTACGTGTAAAGCACACATGAGTGCGTTCAGGCGTTAGGAATACTTGTACATGAGAAATGTAACAACACGATACTTGGAGGACTAGGATACACAGCACAGGCTGATCAAGACTAGCTGAAGCAGTTCAAGGTGTCATTCACACCTTCGATCTATCATACCAAGTGCACTTGAGACATGCAACTTTATTCTTACACCCCTTGCAGCGTATCACTTCATCCCACTGAGCCCCAGCCCACTCTCCGTCCTCGGTGGTGGACTTACAGTGTTCCCCGCCCGGGACACATTGCTCCCCCTCCTCTCCGCGCCAACTTTGCCCTCGGCAGCCTCTCGCTCCAAGAAGTCCTGCCATAGCTCAGCCAACGACTCCTTGTTACTAGAGCTACTAGCCATGAGCATGGGATCCGCCGCCGCCGCACTCAAGCTCGGCGTCGACGGTGTGCGCCTGAACGGCGATAAAGGAAGGCGGAGGCTGCCACTCGAGGTAGCTGTGCCGGGGCGGGCAAGACCTGCTTGCTCTTTCTGCTCTGCAACGACCGTCAGCTACACCCAAATCGAAAGTGACATGATGGAGTTGGAAGGAGAAGGAGCATCTTACCATCCGTCCACCCTAACAACGCACTAATCAACTGCAACGCCTCAAACTTCTTTGGATCACTCCGATCTATACTCAAAAAGTGCAAAAAGTAATTCGTGATGATTTGTCGATCAACGTTATCCTCCGGCCGCCCCTTTTTCAATATGCGCAGCGCCTTTGTCAGATGTTCGTTTAGTGTTACAGCTTCGTGGCGGAGTTTGCCAATGAGCAGGTTCTTCTCTTTGACCTCTTTTTCAAAGGGCAGGGCGCGCTCGAGATCTTTTTGCGTTTGGTCCAAGGTGGCTTTGGCCGTGGCGGATGCTGATTCGGCGGCTTGGACTTGTTTCCTGAGATCGTTGATTTGCGATTCGTAGGTTTCGACCGACTTTTTGAGTTCAGCTTTCCGCACTGTCGGATGGTCAGCACAAGTCGATGGAACGATTGGATGGCGACTTACGATTTTGGACTTCTTGTAGCGCTTTTTGTAAACCTTCTACGGCTTGGTTGTTGGTGTCCCTGTCCCTAGCAGCTCTTTCATACTCTTCTCTCATCGAATCGAGTTGGTCGCGCAGCTCGGCATCCTTTTCAGCAAGGTTTTCACGCAGGGACCGCTCGTTCATGGCCAAAACTTCCCAGTCTTGCATGGCTTGTTTGGCGTTTTCAAACTCTTCTCTTGCGTATGCTTCGCGCGAAATGAGTTCGTCGCGTTCCTTGATCCAGTTTTGTTGTGAGAGGTTCGACCTGCTTCGCAGTGTCTCGATCTCGGATGCTTGAGCCTCCTTTTCTTGTCGCAACTTTGCGAGCTCCTCTGTAAGGCTATTGTTATTCTCTTGTAATTCGCGCGTCTGTTCTTCGAGGTCGGAGATTTGCGATTGGAATTCCTCGATTCTGGCCTGCACATGGTCAGCACTATTACAGGCATGTCTCGAGCAACACGTACCGCGTCCGCCTTCAATCGATCGCCCAGGCTAGTCTTGATGGTATTGACCCTGCCCAGCAAGTTCTTGTACTGTGTCTCAAAGTGCTCTTTGCCCTCGTTGGCTTCGTCGAGCTCCTCCCGCAGGCTTCGTATCTCTTCTTCATAGTTTGAATTTGAGCCATCGGACGTTGCAGCGCTCTTTAACTCCGTGACTTGTTGCCGTAGCGCGTCGCGCTCCTTGGTTATCGCGTCCAGGCGTGCGCTGGTGTCTGACGGCGGCGGCGGGGATGCAGAGATGCCTTGTTGCGAACGTGAGCGTGCCAATCCGAGGGCAATCGCCGAGGAAATGCTGTGGTGTGGGGTGCCATTTGTTTGTATGGTAGGCGATAGCGGAGGCTGTTCGTCGTCTACGTCGTCGGCGTCTGGGTCATCGCGTACAGTCTGTCCAGCTTCATCCTCGGCATCTTCGTCGTGGTCCTCGGCGTCGCTCTTGGAGTGGTCCCCCCCATTCACTTTGCTGTCTGTCTCGTCCGCCTTGTTCGCAGCAGTCGCCTTCTTTTTGTGTTTCTTTTTCTGCGACTTGGACAAAGTACCTGCCATTGCCTGTTAGCCAGAAGCGGAGTTTATAGGCACCTCCGAGAGCTGCAAGCTCACCTACCACTTTGTTGTATGGGGTCTGACGTGGTCGGCGCAGACATGTTGAAAGACGCGTAATGCAGTCGCTACCGCATCAAGAACACTTGAATCAGCGAGGAAAGAAACAATCGGGAATCTAAGTGAGCATTCGTGGATGTCTTGACTTGGCAATTCGTGTCCCGTTCTATGTTTCGGCCCACGCGGTCCACGAGTGGCGTACGTCACTAGCCACATCTCACCTAACACCGTCTCGTCTCCAGACCAACTCATCTCCCCCACTGTCACCAACGCCAGTGATAAGATTCGCAAACTTGTTCTCACTAAAAGTCCACATGAGTTGCGTTATCTGTCATATACACCTCGTGCCACCGGCGACGACGCGCACGCGTGCGCGGGGTAGACGAGCTGTCGAAACATCAACCACACTCCAGCTCAAACAGGCCAAGAGTAGCCACGCAACCCATCGAACCTCTCAACGAGATGAAATACTACAAGCCGATGTTCTACTCGGCCATCACGATAATCTATGCCTCCTTCGCTTTTCGAGTTCTGAGAATCGGACTCCTCCCAAGGATGGTCAGCCACAAGCGGGATCCAAAGCCCACATGAGGGTTGGAGTTGAAAGCGCAAACACCGACGTGAACAAGACTTCGCTCTTTGATGCCCCTGACCTTTTCATGTTTCCTATTCCCACCATCATCCATTTGTTTGCTTGGCGCATTTAGCCAACGGCCATACGAGAGATGCTCTTCCGACATCCAACCAATCTCGACGTCGACCATCCGTCCATCACTAATTTCGTATTCGCCGGCCTCATCGATGAGATCGCCATCGTATCGTATATCCTGCGCACGTTGAGTCCGGGTGGCGCGGCCATAGCCATGTGAGAAGAAGTGCAATAGCACGTTGCACTCGAAAATGCACATTACAAGACGCACGGCGTTCATGTATCTGCCTTGTAATATGACATCGAAACAACCGAACAGAGCAAGCTGCGTAGGAGTACGGTTAACTCATCATCTGAAGTAAAATTCAATGATCCGCTTCTCACTTACAAGCACCCTAGGTGCTCTGGGGCCATGGATTCGAGTTGACAAAAATGTGCCTTGCCTTGAGAGCATTTGCTCATATATTGTGACTTGTATCCAGGCAACCATTCTTTCACTTGTCAACTAAGTTGCGCTAAGAGCGTGTCCCTGCTGTCTCTCGCTTTTCTACCCGCCTTTTGCTCACCTCTATATTTCCACACCCTCCATTCTTTATCCTGTCTAATTTGCAATACCATCAACATGGCGCTACTCACCCTCCTCCTCAGTTGGCTTTTTGTAACACTGGCCTCGGCGTGCATGTTCCCTTTCAACAACCCTCGCCTCACCAATAGTTCGCTAGTCGAAGAGTATATCGCCGACTTGCAAACCAAGGGAGGCAATGGCTGGACCAGTCCCATTGGCCCGAGCAATCCAGTCATCACCGCTTGGCCCAAGAATAGCGCATCAGGCAAGGTGACGTACATTTACTACTGCTTCGACTCCCATGCGTCGTACTCGGTGCTCAAGGACGTAGGTAAGTTCAACTAGCTACAACTCATATCAAGTGACCTTCAAGTGCTGATTTCGTTGGCCGTAGTCGACAGCGCGAATAAAATGTGGCGCGACAAGTTAGGATCTGGTTCGACAAATGGTCATCATTTCGACGGCTTCCGCCACTATTACTCCAAGAACACCAACTCTTATCCCCGCTGTTACAAAGGCTTCCCAGATCCGTGGGGATGGAATTCAGAGGTCCCCGAGGGTACACTCGTGATATCATGGAACAGCCTGGGATATAGTCAGTCCACCGTCGGCTACGACGATGAAAGTATCGATTGGGATCGACATTCCTTGACACTTCATACTTGGATACCTAGGTATGAAGATTGGGTCCTCGAAGTTGCTCACGAGTTAGGTCATGTCCTCGGCTTGAGACATGAGCATCAACGATTTGACCGGGATCGTGATCTCTACTTCGACTGCTCCAAGCTGCAGGGTTATACTGAAGCAAGAGATACAATTGCGGCGCACCCCGAATGGGGATTTACCATCAACCAGGCTTGTGAATCAAGATACCTAGGTACCAGTAAGAAGGAGCTCAACTTCTGGCAAGCGGCTGAATATGCACTACACACGGTAGATGAAAGCCATAGTTATGGAAGACTAATTGACCACAACTCCATAATGATGTACTCTTCTTGGGCGAACGCCGCAGATCTTATGCACGGGCTCGCCAACCTACCTCTCGTGCGCTGGAAGAACGGACCACCCAGTAACGGGCATGCGCCAGATCATTCCAACGCAGAGACCGTCCAGTGGCCTATAGGGATCTCCGATGGAGATAAGGAGGCAATTCAGAAGCTTTACCCATGGGAAGGTTGATTGTTAAAAACCAGTCATGTGTGAGTTGCCTGATAACGACCCAACGCGTTACTACTAGCCTCTAGAAGGGTTTTCGTGCGCATACCAGGGTAGAGAGAGCTTTTGGCAAACAAGATACTGATGGTAGAGGCGGTCACTCGTTGAGCTTGATACATAACCAGCTAAACGGCCAGATATGCCAAGGGCCTCATAGGTAGCTAGAATGAACGTCAAACAAGATCTGTGTTGCACTCTATGCTTGTTCGAATGACGTTGGTGTTTCGGTAGAGGTTGCCAAAACAAGCTTCGACGTTGAATGGACCCTGAGGCTGAAGCCGCCGGTTCCCCACATCGGGGCCGTTACGGCAGGTACCATAATGACAGC